GGCTCTTTGTTTGCCCTTAATTGCCACCACTTCGACCTCGTCACCTTCAGGAGCCTCGTTCTCTTCAGGAGCTTCGCCCCCTGCCGGAGCCTTGCCCTCTTCAAAATCCTTGTCTTTTCCACGATCGCCTTCAGTATTTGTTGCCCTATGGCCCCTAACCGGTGTATCTGCCTCACTACTCGCCATCCCGAATGCAGTATCTCATCTCCCAGCGACTCCCGCACGGTTACTTTTATTTGCTATGTGAGTCTTAAATTTTGTTTTCAATAAGAAACTTATTTAAGAAACGCAAAGACCGTGTGGGGCGTGAGTCCTCGTGAGCCACGTAAGAAAATAACAGTGGTGAGTGGATAATGACTTCTTAATCGACTTCTTAATCAAGATATATCTTGTTCTTCATATTACGGGATCATCCCGTTTTTCCATATTCTTTATTCAAAGTATGTTGACTTCTTAATTCATTCCATATTCCTTATTTAAGGTATGTTGACTTCTTAATTCTTATTTCTTATTAAGAACTGCGTGATTTCTTAATCTTACAAAATTCTTAATTAAGCTCTAAAAATTTCCAAAATTCAATTTGTCTTCGACCCATATTTAATAGTTTCTGAAATCCGGAATTGTGTCATATTGCTATTTTCGCCCTTCATATTTTTTTTCTCGAAATTATGTGATGTAAGGTCTGCCCCAGACATCAGCCCATCAAAAATCCAACAAAAACTATATCCCTAAAACATTTTTCAGTTCGTTTGAAGACTTCTTGGCTGGAATATTTTAAAATATCGCTGTCCGGTTTTTGGACGATTTTGAAAAAGTACATAGATTTTAATTAAAAAAAAAGGAAAGAGAAGAATAGTATGTATTTAGATTGCACTGAGGCAGTGGCCGTGGCAAAAAAAAATTCTCCATTCCTGACTGATTTTTGATGTAAAAAATATATCCAGAATATGTTAGGATCTACTAGAATTTATCGGATTTTTGTATATGAAGAATTCTGTTAGAGTACAATGTTGTAGACTTTAAATAGTGCAAATGTATTTAAAGTACGGTGCGTTCGAATGAATTTATTTATGATCTCACCCTCAGTTATATACTGATGGTGTTTTCACTAATGTTCAACAACTTGGGTTGGCCAGGGTAAAAACTCGTATGATCAGTATGAGAAACCTTATTCAGAACACTTTAGCACTCGGATATATTTTCTAGAAATAAATATATCATATTATCTGTTACTACACTCAGTCTCGGACCTCGGCTCGCGGTTAACCGGTGGCCCGTATTCTATAAATAGAGTAATCTGAGAAGAAGTCTCAAATTACTCTTACGTTCTCTCGGGCTGGCCCACCCTATACTTATATTAATTTGAGAACAAGCCCCAAATTACTCTCGGGCTGACGACGTAAAACGTTATTAACGTATATAGAAATACGTCTACTACTGTAGTCTCCCCCTCAATTTTACAATCAATGGCTGAAGGCTGAAGACCTAGATTGTGAAATTGTTGACTCTGACACTTCTGTAGATGGGTTGGGCGAAAAAACGTTGAACAAACAGATGAATATTTATCGAAAACGTTGACGAATTGGAGCTCTTGAGTATAGACTCGATGAAAATTGATGAAAACGTTGACTCGTTGGGACTGTTGACTCGATGAAATTGCCGAAAACGTTGACTTTCTGAAGAGTAGACAATCTCCTGTATAGTGACAGGCTTCACGGCAAGGCGTGGATAATCTTCTGTACGGGGACAGGCATCACTCGCAGGTAAATTTATTGGTACACGACGTCAAACTTTTGTGAACGTATGGCTAAGTTGTAGTCCCAAACTGCAAGCTGGTACAGTGTGTACGGGGTATGAAAGTGTGGCAAATGTTAAAGCCACCGCGATCAACGACCCCCAGTCATATCACCTAGCCGAAGCCACCGCGATCAACGACCCCCATGTCATATCACCTAGCCGAGGCCTTCGCACACATTATGCTAATTATACATCAACAAGCAGCTTATGTCACAATCCATACACACCACTGCCTATTGCGAACCTCGGAATGTCTAGCGTTATTCTATTGTGGCATAAATGCTCCAGGGCTACTACTCTCTGTGGGTACAGGCCTCCACATCCGGGGAACAAAGACAGGCAGTAGAAAGTTTGTATCCATAACTAGCCGTAGAAAATACGACTATTTACAGAAACGAGATGTTTTTTGCCGTACGGATTCAACACTAATGTTATCACTAACCTACGACGAATACCTAACTATATTTCGCACTACGGCAAACCTTCTTCGACTGCATTCACACCGTTTTACGCCTCATTCCGTGCGTCACGGCATAGGTGCAGTGGATCTGCGCCTGGTGAATACACTCACTTAGGATATCCAGGTCCGTGGCTGATGGACATCAAGAAATCGCTCTTAATGTATTTGAATTTCGGCCATGCTCTGTTGTTCTTTCAACAGCTACCAGCAATTGCTGTGTGTGCGTGCCATAGAATGGGCCAGCATGCATCCGCATGGTGTATAATACTATACACGCTGAAAACAGCGAAGGGAACCAGAGGGTTGGTTCGAGGACTCTTTTTGAACTTCTACATACACTCGTATCAGTTCTGGCCTACCATCTTTAACTGTGAAGAAACCCAGGGCTTTCTCTTTTAAGCCCAACATAAATAAAGTCTTGTAACCAGCGTATTGTGTCGAAATTACAATGCGCTTGAGCAGTAAAATTCTGAGAACAATTAGTCTTTGAGTGTCCATAATTGGTTTTTGTGTCTTCATTATTAGTTCTTGCGTCTCTATAATTAGTTCTTGAGTGGCCATAATTAGATTGAAATGCATTAGTGCAGTTGTCGCGTCCATCAACACTTGTATGGCAACTCCTTGATGGTAATTCGTATGCTTTACTATCCATACTTGACAAGCACAGAACATGCACAGAACATCGATGCGTATGCGTGACACATTTCGTTTTTACGATTGTTGGGTTAAGGTACCCTTTAATATATACATAAAGAATTGAAATGTCAGGTTGTGAATACTGTACCTTTACAGCTCTTCTATATTTGTGCTGCAGTGTTGTGGGAGGATATATCATTCACCCCTCACACAACAGTTTAATTCTACAGCTCATGAGCTACGCATATCCACATTGTCGTCTTCGGATCTTAATGTATGGGCACATGCGCATAGATCTTTATTGCTGATCTCCTAAGTATCAAATATGGTCCCGCCCTACCTGTCGCTTGCCGCCTGGATTCTTGTAGTCATTTTTCATCGACCCCAAAAGCTCGTCTAGGAAACTAGGCGGTGTACTTTTCTTCGCCTGCCTTGGCTTCTTCTTCGGCCTGTTCTCCCTCAGAGCCTCTCCAAGCTGTCTGTCCGCATTAGCCGACTCGTTGGCGCTCGACCCTCTCTCTCCGCTACTACCGCCTACAGTATCCACTCGACTGCCTTTCCTAAAGCTTTCCTTCCCTTCAGGTGCGGCTTTAGGCCCGCCCTGGGGCCCAGGATGCTTACTATGCGGTTTACAATTGCCGGGTTGGTTCGTGTACACGTAGGTTCGAGAGGAGGGGTGTTGGTCGCCTTCCTGCCGGTAGTTTGGTACAGATTCGCGTACCAATCTGTTGCTGTTGGGCTGTTTGGTGTTGTTGGTGGCCTGCTTCACGTTGTTCTTTTGCTCTTTGGACTGCTTCATTGGTTGTTTGGTACTGTTGCTAGGGTGCTTTGCATTGTTCATTTGTCCTTTGGACTGTTTCATTGGCTGTTTGGTACTGTTGCTAGGGTGCTTCACATTGTTCATTTGCCCTTTGGACTGTTTAAACCCTGTCCCGTCGTTTTGGGTCAGGGGCTGTGCTCTACTATCGCGCCCACCCTCCTGGCGCAGCTGCGTGACGCGGTCGTTGGCGTAGTCCTTTGTGTCCTGTGAGTGGCTCCGTTTGAGCTGTTTCGCATGCTCTCCATCGCCCGTGGTAGCCCGTGCGTCGTCTCGACTGCCTCGGCTGTCTCTGCTGCCTCTCCTGTCACGTGCACGTGCACTGCTGTCCTCTCTCGTGTGAGAATGGTCCCGTTGGCTGGTTGTACGGGCCACCCCTTCCTTGCCCTTGCCCTTGCCTGCGCCTGTGTGCGTCTCATCGATCTCACCCTCTTCCATCTCATTCCCATCTGCCGACCCAGACCCCTTCGCCTTAGCTTTCGGGTTCTGTTGTTTGTCCAGGTGTTTTGCTGTGTTCGTGCTGCGGTCTTCGTCCCGTCTTCTGCCCGTGTCCGTCCTCGCATGCTTCCTGTCCTGGTTGCCGTCGGCCTCCTCTCCTCTGGTACGCTTGGCTGTGTGGCCCCTGATTTCGTTAGAACTACCGCGGCTACTGCGCCCCCCACTGCCACCCCTCGCCCGTCTGTCTGGCGCATCAGGTGCATGCGAGTCCCTTTTTCTGGACAGGTGCGTGTCTCGGATATCTGGGGTCTTTGTCCTGTCCCGGCTATCTTGCCCTCTACTACTGGGTCCCACGCCGTGCGCCGAGGAATGCCTGTTCCTGTCTGCTGGTTGACTATACTTGGCCTGCACAGCAGAAACCATTGTAGTTCGCTCCTCCCCGCCCCCGCCCAAGCCCGAGCCCTTTCGCTCATCTGCCGTAGAGTCCCGTCCAGCCCTGTCCACACTGCTCGGGCCCACCCTGTCCTGTAAACTGGGTGGGAGGGCCTCCCGAACCCTTTCCACACTGCCCCTATCTACCCTGTCCTGTAGCCTGGGTGGGATGGCATCCACATCCATATTCGAGCTCTCGTATGCCATGGCTCGGTAGCCGCTGGTGGCCTTCGGCAGTGCGAGGCCTATTTGAGCATCCAGCTTCATCGCATTGGCCGGTGGTTTGTGTTTCCTGCTATCGGAATATGGAGTCCAGGGGCTGTCGTCTCTCATGATATTACGCTCGCGCGCATCATCCGCCAATTCCTGCGGAGCCGATACCAGCATTTAAAAGGTTAAATGGTTAGAAAAACTGTCAAAAGGTTAGATAAAAATGTCAAAAGGCCAGATTAAAAGATTAAAAGATTAGGTCAAAAAGATAGTTTACTTGCCTTGAATACATATGAATCCTTGTCCCTGGATAGAAGCTCAGCGTTCCCCAGTACCCACATACAATGCTTCGCCCGAGTGAGTGCGACATTGAGACGCCGCACATCTGCCGTAGAGCGTCGATTCATGTGAAAGAGAATGAGAACCATATGAGAAAGAGAACGAGAGCCATGGGTACGGATAGCACCCCAATGCGACAGTTAATATGCGACAGTCAATATGCGACAGTCAATATGTGACAGTCAATATGTGACAGTCAATATGCGAAAGTCAATAGGCGACAGTCAATATGCGACAGTCAATATGCGAAAGTCAATATGCGACAGTCAATATGCGACAGTCAGTATGTGATCGTCAATATGTGACTACACCATACAGTGGACCTATGGCACACTTCACCGGTGCACTAGCAATCGACCGAGGCTCAGCTGTGGATATGGAGAAGACGCTCATAGCACACAGTCTGATACTATCGGGCGGACGCACGTGCACAAAACAAACCAGGCGCACATGTCCACCACAACAACCAGACTGGCACTAATCCTCGATTGCATATAGTGCTTAGGTGACTATATTGACTATATATTCGGTTAGTGAGTATTCGAGTACAGTATGTGGTGCCTTGTTGAGCAAAGCCTGCCCACGCATGCAAAGTTAATGATGTTGCGTGAGAGCTGTGTTTGCCAAGACGTTGCACGAGCGCTTCACTGTATTTGCCCGTTCCAAGGCGATAGCAATGACACACACACACACACACACACACACACACACACACATTGGTAACGCACAAAAACACATACCGTTGAGAAACCATAACCCAAACACATACCGTTGAGAAATCCGATGTTGCCGCTGTGACTCGCACGTACGCAGGAGAGGATGATGATATCTTTCTCACGTCCCTGAACGCAGCCAGATTGAACATACGGCAGGGGTGAGCGATGAGGTGATAGTAATAGTATATGAAGCACTGCCACTACTAAGCCCATCGGGGTACACTAGACCAGGGCTCTAACGACCTACTCCTTCAGTGGTTAGAGAAAGGAATACGACTATAGTTCTATGAACACTGTGAGTATGCACCCCGTCTAACTAGTAGGAGGTATGAGAGAATGGGGCAGGCAGTAAGAGCAGCCATTGTTTTCAAGGCCGTTTATTGGATGAAAGAGAAGATCACCACAGCATATATGCATGCGAAACAAAATGGATCCCCAAATAGAATACAAACAAAATACAAACAAAATACCAAAAAAAACAAACAAACAAAATACAACCAACATACCTGGTAGGAGTCGACAGAGTCGATTTCCACGTGACTCAGAATACTGTCTCCGCTGAAGAAACTGCAGAACTTCTGACGGATGAGTTTCTTCTGGGCCGAATACGGAGTCACAATGCCCACTCTGCCAGAGAATCCGGTGGCTTTACAACTCCTAGTGGACCGTGGAAAACCGGGTTTTTGGATTTTAGGGTTTAAGAGTTTTAGAATTCTAGGATATTCAATTAAAACCGATAAACTATTGTATACTCCTTACTACACTTCTATCCGAACTTAGGGTATACGGTTTAGAGATACGCGGATCAACAAATATTTGAAATAACGTCACTCGATTGTCCATCTGTTAGCACTCCTAAAACCCCAAATCTGTTAACACGTGCTAAATGACACGCACTAGACATTGCACGAGAACAAGCGTGCAGTTTCTTAAAGCATTGCCAAACCCCAATTGACTACTAACGACCAATGACACTAACAGACACACAGGCACACAAGCACAACCAACGAAACCATGGTCACCTATTAGCAACTAATGACACTAACAGATACACAGGCACACAAGCACAACCAACAAACCATTGTCACCTATTAGCGACCAATGGCACTAACAGACACACAGGCACACAAAACATCCTTCCCAACCCGAAACCCTAAACCCCTCAACCTTCCCGTCGTAAACCGATCCCAACGCTCACACAACTCGGCAGAAGTAGACCAACGCAAATGATATATTAGGAAAGAAACCACTTAAACCGCCCTAAAAAACAAATGAGACTTACAAGCACACCCAAATGAACAGCGCCAGGGCCTCTACCGCCTCCTGTTGGTTGATGTAGCTGCCATGCGATCGCTCTTCCATGCCTTTGACATTGGCGAACATGTACGGCCCAAACACGTGCTGGTACACGGGGGTCTCAGGCATGTTGAAGGTGGTGTGGTGGTCTCTGAGTTGTCCGTTGTAGAAGTGTTTGGAGGGGAAGGCGGCGATCTCCGGGTGCATGCGATACTGCACCGTCAACAGCTCCACAGGGCTGAGGCAGCGAGAAATGGGACAATGGGGTGGAGTGAAATGGGGCAGAGATAAATGGGACAGAGATAAATGGGACATAGATAAAAGGGGCGGAGATAAATGGGGTACAGTGAAATGGGGTACAGTGAAATGGGGCAGAGATAAATAGAGCAGAGATAAATGGAGCAGAGATAAATGGGGCAGAGATAAAAGGGGCCGAGATAAATGGGGAAGAGATAAATGGGGCAGAGATAAATGGGGCAGAGATAAATGGGGCAGAGATAAATGGTGCAAAGATAAATGGAGCAGAGATAAATGGGGCAGAGATAAAAGGGGCAGAGATAAAAGGGGCCGAGATAAATAGGGAAGAGATAAATGGGGTTGAGATAAATGGGGCAGAGGCAAATGGGGCAGAGATAAATGGGGCAGGGGACAATGAGGTGAGATTAAAGCACTGAATATGAAGCGTTTCTGGACGTTTTATCAATTCTGGCACGCAAATTGTACAGGTTGCGCTTGTTATTAAGGTGGAGTGGGCCAGGACATGTATGCGGTTTGGTGATGTGTTGATGTGTTGAATGTCTGACATCTTGCATTGTGTGTTTAGTCAACACACGCGCAGAGACAACACAGGATGGTTGGAACACAGACATGTATCCACACGGACACGTGTGGATGAACGCCAAGACAGGGCAACGGCATAACTCCGGACGGACTCTCGCTCGCACACGTCCAATGTACATAAGGCAACCACGGCACACGAGGCCCTTTCCACGAGCAGAGGAATACGCAACACATGTCATTCTGCCGGTGGGGTTTATACAAATGAACGCACAATCTGAAGTGGCACCTTGCCCCGCAGCACACTAGGAATTTCAACTCCCATTGCACATGCACAACCACACAGCATCAAACGAAAACTACGGAACGTTCAACTGAATGCCATGCTTGTACCTTATCACAAACAACAACAAAAAAAAACAAAGTATCGTGCAAGAAAGTGGCATGCGTATACCTCCCTATATCACAAACCAAACAACAACCAAAGAAAAAAAGTATCGTGTAAGTAAGTGCCATGCTTATACCTTCGTAGGGGCCCCATACCATACCTCTTTATGTTGTCTGGCTGCTGCATGAAGTACAACTGCATCCGTCGAAACATGCTGCGGTCATAGCCCAAGTCCCTACAAAGCAAAAGTAGCAATCCAGATGAAACACCCTTCTCATCCTGTACTCTATACTTACTACTCTATACCTACTGCTCTATACCTACTACTCTATACTTGCGTGCTTGGCCTTGGCTATTCCACAGAACAAGTCAGAGTTTAACGAACAGTTTGGTACATACTTGGACACTTGAGATTGGACTGTGGCTGGCAGCTGGTTGGGGTCACCCACCATGACGCATTTGCGCCCGTTGTGCTGCAGGGCAATTAGCACATCAAGTTCGGTAGACTGCGCCGCCTCATCAATGACCGTGAACCTGTGCACCAGTGTTTAGGACAGGGCAGGTACACATTCTTGGTTATTTGTCCCGGACTACCCGACACCCAACCCACACAGCAGCAGCCGCCTAAACCACTTTGTATACCATCTACATGCACACGCACACTCGGTGTACACCCGGTACACGGTAACAGCGCAGCCATGACACGCGAATAGAGTGGGGAAGGTTCAAACAAACGCAAATAAAAGTCAGGATGATCTGACAACTACAGCCAGGCAGTGGACCATACCCAATATCAATGCCTGCTCTCACATAGGCCTGATTTCCGGATCCTGCAAGAGGAGAGACAGGGCAGTGGCGTGTGAGAAGGGAAATACATAAGGCTACACATAGTATCATCAACGCCTACCATGAATGCATGTGTATATGGATGGCTACGGACGAATTACACATCAATTCACATCAGCATGTGCCAGTTCGGTACATACGACTATCCACAATTTATCAAGCCTAGTATGTGCCACAGGCACAGATACAGGACATGCCATTGAGCGTGGTGGCGATGATCTCCGCCCCCTCGAGGATGTTCTTCCTCTCTTGCTCACGCAACCGATTGAAGTCCTTGTTCATTGTCTCTAGGGCCTTCTTGGCTGTGAGGTAACTAGTCTTTGCACTGAATGACAGATAACGCGATAAGCGGGGCGGATGAGAAGGCTACAGAACACACAGCAACAGCAACAGCAACAGCAACACACGAGCACCCATTCACAGCACATGAATATATCATCACACCAGCCATGGACTGGTAATAGTCAGTCATGGACTGTGATAAGAAGCAACGCACGAGCACGCATTCACACGTCAAGATCTGACACAGTCGCACTAAAAAGTGGTCAATAGACAGTTCAGGCGAACAACAACACACGCGAGGGTCTGAGGGGTATCATCTGGGGCAAAGCGCTCAATGGCAATACAAACACCGGCATGCTTACAGACTGGGTTGCTAAGCAACCGCTGGAGTACTCACCCGAGCATTGCTCTGTTGAGCTCCACCATGCGGAAGTCTTCCTGGGGATTGGGGGCGCTGTATTTTAAACAGAACACACATGAGCAACGGATAGTGAGTGAGTGCGGGGTAGGTAGCACGAGGACACTCTCCACCAATCAGAATGCGACGAGTTAGGGCGAAAGATCGGCATGATGTGTTGATATATTTGTACATACAGTCTAGTTGCCATCTGTCGTTGAGTGTATGCGTAATAGATATGAATGGGGTCAACAGGTACGTTGCTATCTGCCCTGTCTGAAGGCGCCGGTACAGTACAACGCCCCTGTACGGCGCTTAAGAAACAGATAAACATACGCGACTATGTACACACTGGTGTCACAGTCTAAGCCATACACAGAAAGAAGAAGAAAACACAGAAGAGTATATTGCCAATAGAAACGTTGATCACGTACAGAAATAGCCTCGAACATGTACTTTGGAGTGACGCCGACAGAACATACGAGCAGACCTTAAACATACACATGTTCACGCAGAGTCGTAATGAGCACATGCGCATATGCACCAATAACCAAAGAATAAAGCGTATACACATACACAAGCACATATGTAAACACATACACAATTAAACCACAATCTGTATTCAATACGTAAACGCATACTAAATGCACGATCGTCATAGATCCTCCGGTTCAGCCGATGCAATCCACCCGTCAGTACGTGTACACATACTCGACCACAAGTATCTGCAACAAAGCAACACTCCAAGTCTTTTGCACGATGGTGTTGTGAGTCAGACATTAACATAACTAGTGTCCTTTAAACCCTAAAACTCTACGATTGACATACCCAGTGTCCTTTAAGTGAGCCCTCCGCTCGTGAGCAAGACGTTTAGCTTCTTCATACAACTTCCATGTTTCCTGTCGCAACTCTCTCAGTCGGTCCCTCTTGCAGTTCAGCTCATCCAGCAAGTCCTTGGCCTAACAAGGAAATACAACTGCGCGATTAGCAGTTGTGAATAAATTATATATAAATATAAATATAAATATATA